ATCAGACATAATACTAATAAAAATAAAGAGGCTTAAGATGCTAAGAAACGTAAAAAAGAAAAATCCAAAACAATGAAAAAAAGATCAAGACAACTCCAAAAAAAAAAAAAAGGCAGGGGTATTTGAAAGAGGAAGAATTGGATTTACAGGCAGGAATCCTTTCTAAAGGAGCTACTTGAAGACTGGTTTGCCAAAAAAAGTAACAATGGCGAGTACTTATTAAGTTAGAACGGAATCCAAAGAGAAGGAAGTCAATTTCTGTGCAAACTATCTTTATTTATAAAGAAAAACTTCCCTGTTTTGTTATAAAACCAGCGTTGTGTGGAGGCACTTGATTGGGGAGAAGTGGGGCAGGGATGCTGGTAGAGACAAATGTGCCTGACCCGGTCCCTAAAGGCTACTGGTAAAGATGGGAGCGGAGGTGACTCCTGGGGAAATCCAGTAGAGGTGACCCATCCCAGACTCCACTAGGATGGCTGGTTGGCTTGGTTTGGGGGTAAGGGACTCGGCAGTAGGAGTAGGAGGCACTTTGGACGGGATCTGATTTGGCAAATGTGGGGGTCTCTCTTGCCCCCAGTGATTCTCAGCCCCACCATGACCTCCATTAGCTAAGGCAGATTTCTAAACTTAAGGCTGGGGTTCTCCTTCTCCCCAGGGCTTCCAGGGAAGCAGAGAGCTATTGGCAAGGATCCCATCCCTGCAAGGGCTTGGGGCGCAGAGAGATGCAGCAGTAACGGAGGGGGAGGTCTGGAGAAGGCAGTGCTGCTTCTTCCTGTCTCCCTTGGAAACGTCTTTTTCTCCAGCTAGACCTTATTCCTCTGAGGCTTCACCCTGGGGAAGAGCTGAGGGAAGACAGGATCTTCAGACACCAGGAGCTCCCCTCACTCCACCCTCAAATATAACACAATCACCAAATCCACCCCCAAACACCTGGAGTGTCTCCATCCTTCCATCCCTTCCTAGTAGACTCACTCAGCATCTCCCAAACCACATGGGAGTCCCCAAGTCCCCTGTCACCTCCATGCACCAGATGGAGCCTTGACGAAATGGAATATTCTGAGTTTCCCAAATGGCCAGAAAAAAAAAACCCGCTGGCCACCCCCTACCACCATGGCTGTCTAATCAGGACCCACTTCCACCTATTCCCCCAATTGAAGGAATCTTCTCCCCCAGGAATATAACGGGATCTTAATGGTCTCCTCCCCTAACTTAATAGAATCTCCCTCATTTCTACTATAATTTTATTAATGGATTCTTCCTCCCTCTGCCCAATGTGGTGTAACAGAAGCGCCCTCACCATCACACCTATGATATACAGTTCTTTAACTGCCTCATCTCTAAAATGGGATTCTTCATGGCTCCCCTTGGCTAAAGTACATTCTTCTTTACCTCCCCATGAATATAATTCGGGATATTAAAAATATTTGATTGAGCATGAACCCATCAAATAACCAGTAAGACAGTACTGGTGAGTACCCCCACGAAGTACCACCAGTAAGGGCCCTCCCTTATTTTAGTGGACTCTTCCTCAGCTCCCCAAGACCAATAATGGACTCTTCTGACCTCCCCTCCTCCCCAATATAATGGACTGTCCCTCTTGCCCCTCTTTTTCCTGTAGGATCACCCTTTTCCTCAAACAGCAAGCAGGAGGCACGGTATCTCTTCTGGGCTCACCCCGAAGTAGTTACGGGGCACGTAGCCCTCCTGGCCGTGCAGCGTGGCCCACCACCAGTCGGTCTCCTCCAGTCCGTCCCTCCGAAGCACGGTGACCGACTCGCCCTCGCGGAAGGACAGCTCGTCCCCGAACTCGGCGCTGTAGTCCCACAGGGCGTACACCACCCCGTTGTGCATCAGCCCCATGCTCTGCTCCACGTCTGAAACATCAGACAGCAGGGATCGTAAGCGCGCAGTCCAAGGGGTCCACAAACACTCAAGGATAAGGGGACAGACACAGACCGTGGGATTTGGCAGGCGCCACCTGGGGACATGAGTCATTTGAAAAGTTGTGTACCCCTGTCTGGAGAGGGGAGCCTGAGCTGGAGTCAGCTGCAGGTACTAGCAGTCTCTAAAACACTGGGGTAAATCAAGATGGGCCACCAACCCCCGAGGCAGGGTCCGTGATCACACTGATCCCCCCTCCATAAAAGATAAATTTTCCAGAGAAGATGTAATAATTTTCCAGATAGTATAGCCCACCTGAACCTCCCCTACCCCCTTAAGTGGTTAAATTCCTATCAAGGATTTAGCCTCCTTTCCAGATGATAGTCCACCACGCTCCCCCTCTTTAGTGGTTCATTTCGCGTGTTCTCCTCTCCCCTCCCTTGCCACGCCTCCCCCCGTGCGCTGTCCTATCTCTGCTTCACGCTCACAGAACTCCCCCACGTCCCTGGCAGGTAGGACAGTAAAATCTTCATATGTCAGTCTCCACCTCACTGTGACAAAGGTGATCACAGTCTCCCTCCCCAAAGCTCACTGTCCTACTCCTCTTCAGTGGACCTTTTACTTCCCGCCCCAGTGGTCCAGTCCGGATCTGCCACTGCCCACGGATAAGGCAGGTGTCACAGACCCATGGCTGCCACCCACTTTCTGCTGTAGCCCAGCAGACTGTCCCGTAGTCCCTCTAGGGTCACCCCTCAAATACACTGCCCCACCTCCAGGTCCTACAGCCTGCCTTGGTCCAGCTCTGTGAAGCTCCGAACTCCACCTTATGATACAGTTGGCGCCTCCAGGTGTGCAGCACAGACCCTAGGCACGCCCCCATGGTACAGTCTACCTAGTTCCTCCCATCACCTGTTTAGGTGATGTGCCCCACCTCCTGGAGATATGTGACACAGCCTCATGTCTCCCTTCAAGTGGAAGTGTCCCCAAGCCTCTCCCCTAAAACCATGGCCTGCTCACCTGTCACCTGTATGGTACTATACCTCCCACAGGTAGCACAGCCCACATGCCCAGCCCTATGCCAGGTGGATGGTATAGTTGGAACATCCAACTCCCCACCCCCGCCGATGCGAAACAGATAAAGCAGCCCAATCTCCACAAACCACTCCTCCCACAGGTGTCCAGCTTGCGTGGCACAGTCCTTGTACCCCTCTCCCTCGAAGGTGGCACCGTCTGCTCCCTCCTACACACACCCTTCTTGCACCTGCCAGTCCCCAACCCCTGCAGGTGGTCCATTCCGCTGGCCCTTCCTCTGTGATGCTGCCACTTGGTTGATACAGCCCCTAGAGCTTCTCTCTAGGGAGCTGCAGTCTGCAGCTTCCCCACCCACCCCCAACCCAACACCTGCCAGCTGGACGGCCCAGTCCCAGCGCCCCCCTCCCCCAGGGGTGGCCCAGCCCGCCCACCGGGGCACTGCAGCTCTGCCTCGCACCTGCCAGGTAAGTGGCGCAGTCTGCGTAACCCTCGCGGTAAGGGTCACACTTCTCGATGGCGGTGGCGCCGTCACTGAGCGTGGTGGCGAAGATTGCCGCGCCGTGCTGCACCAGCGCCGTGCAGATGGCCGTGTCGTTGCACGACGCCGCGCAGTGCAACGGTGTCCTGGGCGTGGGAGGCATGCGTGAGAAGCCGCGAGGTCGCCCGCAAGGATCCCGACCCGCAGCGCCGTCCCCGCCCCACGTCGGCCACGCCGTCAGGGCTCACCAGCCGTGGCTATCGGGCGAGTTGACGTTGGCACCCGCCGCGATGAGGAAGTCCACGATGGGGTAGTTGGCGCCGCAGATGGCGTTGTGCAGGGCAGTGATGCCCTCCTCGTTGGGCTGGCTCGGGTCGTTCATCTGCCAGGGAGCGGGAGGCTCAGTCCGGCGGCTGCCACCCGGCCTCCCGCTCCTCCACCCCAGCAGCCCTGCTCTCTAGCAACACTCACCTCCTTCACCGCCTGCTGCACCACGTCCAGCTCCCCGGTCAGCGCGGCGTCCAGCAGCAGCACAAGTGGGTTGAGGCGCGCGCGGCGGACCTTGCGCGGGGAGCCGGCCTTCCGCAGCACCGAACGCATCTCCTGGGAACAGGGCCAGGGGCTTCAGTGGCTTGAGAGGATCGCTAACACATACATTACTCAGAGTGGGAACCAGAAGCTCAGGGACTTGACGGCAACAGCCCCAGGTCATCCAACTAGACAGGGGTGTGATTGAAACTGAGGAATGTGCAGAGCCTGAGTCCAGAGGACCATGGGAAGGAGGGCCCCTCAGTTCTACAGCCTCTGGTTCCCTACAACAGTTAGAGAATCTAATGAATCGCAGGCCCTGAGACCAGAGAGGAAGCTGGGAGGCAATCAGATTGATGATTGTGGGAGCCAGATATTTCTTTTACATATATATATATATAATAAAAAAAAAGCTATGAAGCACACCTGACAAGGTGTTACCAAGTGTTAATTCTGGATGTTTGGAATTAGAATGTTTATCGTATTATTCCTTGTGGTTTCTTATTTTCGATTTTCAAGTATCCTCCTACAAAATCCATTTATTCTGAGCATGTAGCATTTGTGATTCTGGTCCTTGATGTCAATGATTTCAAGATTCTGGAATTTGGAGATCCCAGGAGCCACTGGTTTCAAAATTCTCTGATACTCAGTTATTACAAGTTTCTAATTATGTTGTGAGTCCAGAAATGCTAAGTTGTGCCATTTCAAATTGCTGAAGACCCAAGGCACTGCATTCCCAAGATTCTGAGTGAGAACTTTAATATTTTATGGTTAGAATTTCATTCCAAAAGATTGCAAGGAAATACTCAAAATGTTAATCGTGGTTCTCTCTAGTGCTGTCACTTTGGCCTCATTCTTCTACTTGTTATTTATTTCCTCCAGCTTTCTGTGATGTTTGTTTATTCCTTTCTAGTGGAAAATATTCATTTGAAATAAAATTCTGTATTATGTTAGTGCACTAATTGGTGATTTTATGGTTCAAATGATGAGCCTAATTTCTCATTTGGGTGACTTCAAGAATTAGTAATAACCAGGGTTTGTGTTACTAACTTTTCAATTTAAGATCCTGTTCAAACCTTCAGTGTTCAAGGATTCTGAAATTCCACAGTTCTGAGATTGTGATGCCAGGATTTAATTCTTGAATTCTGTGAATTTTCAAGTTTCCCTGTGATCAGGGATTCTACAGTGAGGCCGCTTGACCATTTCAAGATGTTTTCATTCTCCTATTCTTGATTTCAAGATCCTGAGCCTCAATATTTCTTGGCTCCACTCTCAGAAGGGCCCAGGAATAGGCATTTTGGGGTCCACCTGGCCCCCACTTCTCATTCCTCTCCCTCCGTCTACCCACACTGAGCAATGAGGATTGTTCCATTTGACTACACCCCACACCCCCAGCCAAGATACCGAAATCAGACCAAGATCAGCAAGAGAGCATCCCCTGGTCAAATGATAACAATAATAGTAAGCAGTTGAGTGCCAGATGCTATTCTAGGCACTATATTATGTATTTAATCCTTATAGCAACCCTATGGTTAGTCTCATCCCCATTTTACAGATGAGGAAACCAAGACCCAGAGGGGCTAAGTGTCTTGTCCAGGGTTGTACCCCTGATTAGCTCAGCAGCTGATGCACTTAACCATGACACCCAAAGCCTCAGAGACCAGAGATTTGTTTTTGAAAATGTGAATGGAAGAAGCTCTGACTAGAGTCAGAAGATATCAACAGACTTGAACTGAGAGGTTATTTTGAGTCAGGGCTGGTGGGCCATTTCTAGCCACAGCGCAGGCTTGCTGAGGTGTAAAAGGAAAGAATGGATCCCCAGAGAAGGCGGACATGAGAGACTATGCCAACTAGGGAGAGAAATGGTGACTGACTTGATTCAGGCAGGCTTTTCAGATCCCAGAATAAACCCACTGTTGTGCCAAGATGAAGTCATTTCCAGGTTGTAAGACTCTAAGATTCCTAAAGGGGGATGTGGACAGGTTACTGGAGAGGAACAAAGAAAGTCTCAGTGTGGTCAAGACTTTTGGATGCCCCTCCATGCATGTTCTCCCTTTCCTCTGTACACGAGTACACTTAGATTAAAAACTACATTTCCCAGCCTCCCTTGCAGCTGGGTTCCTGGCCAGTGGGATGCAGTAGATTGTTTGCTGTGATATGTGCAATTTCCAGATTCTGTTCCAAAAGGGAAGGGATGCCTCCATATAATAACTAATATACCCCCAGTTCCTCCTGTATTACTTACCATGCTCTGTGGCTGCTCTGGTGGGCTGCTCTGGAGCGGGGCTGGGGGAGGTATGGGAGCTGGAGGGGCAGGAGCAGGGGGCCCTGCCCTGGCCTCAGATCCCTCAGTGATGGGAGACAGCTCCGGCTCAGGCCCCCCAGGCCCCCCATGACGATGGAAGAGGCGGCTGATGATCTGCTGGTACTGCTTTTTGTGGGTGGGGGGCAGGGCTACAGCAGGGCTCTGCTCCATGGAGCCCCTGCGTTTGAGGGGCCGTGGAATCTCAGCCAGCACCCGTGCCACCTCCTCCAGCTCAGGCACTGACTGTGCCTCGGGTGGCAGTGCTGGCTGCAGCCGTGTGGGACTAAGGGGCCGAGTGACAGCCCCTTCGTCTGAATCACCAGCCTCCAGCACTGGTGTCAGCAGCCCCTCCAGTTCTGGTTCAGGCTCTAACTCAGGGGGAGGTTTGGGGAGGCCTGGAAGGAACAAGAGCACAATCAGAGGAGGGGACTCTGGGAGACCCTCAAGACTTCCTCCCCACAACTTCCAGGACCTGCAACCAGCACTTGATTTGCTGTGTGACCTCAGGGTAGCTCCTTGCTCTCTCTGGGCTATACTTCCCTGGGTTGTGAATAACAGACAATTATGACATCCCCCATTTATTAAGTACTTGGCATGCACCTTGTACTTGACATGCTTGTCTTATTGAATTCTCACCACTAACTTGGGAGGTAGATATATGGCCATTATCTCATCATCATAGAAGGGGAAACTGAGTCTCCGAGAGGGCAAGTCAGTTACCTAAAGCCACACAGCTGGGATTTGAATTCAGTTCTATCGGACTCCAGAATCTCTGCTCCTACTGTCATGATAAGCTTGACTTTGTAAGAGTCTAAGAATTTCCTCTCCTAACAACTCAGGCAGAAAACTGCTAGGGCTAGAATCCTGGAGACTGATGATCTCATGCCTCTCTAGTAGAGCTTCTAAAGTGGGTAGAAATAATAGTGATCACTCTTTATACATTATTTCATTGAATGCTCATCATAATCTATGGGGTAAATATAATTAATATCTCTTCACAGATGAGAAAATGTAAGCTCAGATAGGTTAACTAATTTTATCCTGAGTCACCAGCAGGTCAATGGTGGAGAGGTGCTCAAAACCTACTCTGCTTAAATCCAAGCCCTGAGCTGGTTTCACACCAAAAAACAAACAAACAAACAAACAAACAAACAAAAAACCCTACTAATATGATAGCTATTGAGGGTTTACTATACATCAGGCTGTATTTTAGGACTTTATATGGATTAAATAATCTAGTACCATATCCCAGAATAAAGATAGGTTCTATCATTATTCACATTTTACATTCAAGGAAATTGAGGTCCAGAGAGGTTAAGTGACTTACTAAAGGTCACACAGCATAGAGCCAGGCAGTCTGACCCCAGGGTCCATGGTTAACCACTGTGCTATCCCTAGCTCCTGAGCAAATTCCCAAGCCCATCTGGCCTCACTGTCTGCAGGGACAATGTCTGGGAATAGGTGTTTGGCCGAGATGGCTCCCCTAGTTGGTCTGGCCCCCAGCCATTTGTCCTCCCCTCACCCAGCCCTCTGGGGCTCCCATTGCTGACTCACCTTCACTCATAGGGGGCCAAGTCTGTTGAGGGGGTTGGGGGACTGGGGCAGGGGCTTGAGGCTGGGGTTGAGGCTGGGGTTGTAGTTGTGGCTGGGGCTGTGGGGGCGGCTGCGGCTGTGGTTGGGGCTGGGCCTGTGGAGGAGCCTGGGGCTGGGGAGGCAGCTTAGGCGGGGGAGCTCGGGAGAAGATGGGGGAGCCAGGGAGCATGGCCCTGCTGGCCCCGTGCTCCCAGAAGGCATTCTGCAGTTTGAATATCATGCTGAGGGGGATGGGGCGCTGGCGGGGGGCACTGCGGGGCTGGGGGCTGGAAGGAGGCATAGGGATGCGGCTGACAGGTTGCCAGTTTCGAGGCAAAGTCCCTGATGGTGCCGCGGAGCCCAGAGATCGGCGATAGCTGCCTACATCGGAACGCCTGTCGTTGGCCAGAGGAGAGACCTTGTAATTGCGGGGCAAAGTAGCGCTGGTGAGGTTGTCCTGGGGGAGAAAGAGGGAAGGAAGGAAGGAAGAAGGGGCTCAGGTGGGAAAAAGTTAGGAGTAACAGAATGAATGCTAAGGGAGGGGAGGAAGGGAGGTGGGGGGTAAGGGCAAAAAGTGATGAGGGAGAGGAGGAGGAGAAGGGAGACAGAGAGGGAAAGAAAGAGGGTCAGGAAGGGGGACAGAAATCTAGGATAAAGGAAGAGCGAGGGGAAGGGTGCAGAAACTGCCGGCGCAGCCAGGAGGGGGAGACTAGACCTGACCCCATCCTTACCCACCACCCCCTCCCCAAGCTTCTCTGGCCCCTCACCTTGCCGGTGGCCCCCAGTCCACCATCCAGGCTGCTCTCTCTCCAGGGTAACAGCTGCAGGCCCGGTGAAGAGGGTCGCGCAAAGACGTCCAGGCCTGCGAGAAGGGAATCATTAGGGTCTGGGGGACTCCTCTCCGGCTCCCCGATTCCTCCGGTCTCTCATTACTCACGTTCATAGCTTGCTGTCTGTGAGGACTTCTTCTCGTACGCCACGTCCAGGTCAGACTCGTTCCAGGCTTTGGGGGGCCGCCGGCGCAGCGTAAGGTCATCTAGGGAGAGGTCGCCAATGAGGATGAGGGGGCAGGGAGACGCTAGCCCGCGCTCCTCCCACTCCTCGACACCCCACCTCCGCTCCCCGCCCTCAAGTTCGGCCCCCGGGCTCACCTTGCGCGCGCAGAGGCGGGGCGAAGGGGGTGGGGGGGGGGGGAGGTAG